TGGGAGGGGGGGTCTAGGGAGCTGTTACCCCTTCCCCCAGACAAATGTAGATTGGAGGTGGGAGGGGGGTCTAGGGAGCTGTTACCCCTTCCCCCAGACAAATGTAGATTGGAGGTGGGAGGGGGGGGGTCTAGGGGGCAGTTACCTTTTCCCCAGAGAAATGTAGATCGGGGGTGGGAGGGATCTAGGGGGCAGTTACCCCTCCCCCCAGACAAATGTAGATTGGGGGTGGGAGGGGGGGTCTAGGGAGCTGTTACCCCTTCCCCCAGACAAATGTAGATCGGGGTGGGAGGGGGGTCTAGGGAGCTGTTACCCCTCCCCCAGACAAATGTAGATCGGGGGTGGGAGGGGGGTCTAGGAGGCAGTTACCCTTCCCTACCAAGAGCTAATAATACAATATAATAACGTATTATTAGCTCTTGTGTTATTACTACCTGTTCAGTGGCTGATAGCCATGGTAAACTAACCAGAACGTATAATAAATATGATGTCGTGACGTGCCCCTGTTGTCTCGATTATGATAGGTTGGCCGGGTTAGAGGAGTCGAGAAATAACTTGGTAGTGCCCCAGGTCCTACTTGTCTACCTGTTCTATCTGCCTTTCTCGAGAAGTCGTACTTGTACAGTCATATTATGATGTAATGCTGTAACATGTTTATAGAGCATACCGATGTCAAGAACGTTTAAATATAATAATGTAACATGACTACATGACATAACGATGTCACGCATGTTATAATGTAATAACGTAGCATGACTATGTTGTGTAAGGAGAGTGGGCCATTTTACCACAGGCTCTAGACGTGAGGGTGAAGTCAGGCAAGAGAGAGAATGGAGGGGACCTGGTGATCCTATCCAATGACATACCAGTTGCCCCGACACTAGTCCGTAGCAACAGCAGCAGTGACACCGACGAGGACAATGCTGAGAAGGACATGGGTAAGCTCACTGATGATGCTTGCCATGGAAACGTACCGCGTCGCCGCGGAAGCGTCGCGCATCGCCTTGGAAAAGTCGCGCGTAGCCGCGGAAGCGTCGCGCATCGCCTTGGAAAAGTCGCGCGTAGCCGCGGAAGCGTCGCGCGGCGACGCGCGACGCTTCCGCGGCTACGCGCGACTTTTCCAAGGCGATCTTCCGCGGCTACCCTTGGAAAAGTCGCGCGTAGCCGCGGAAGCGTCGCGCGTCGCCTTGGAAAAGTCGCGCGTAGCCGCGGAAGCGTTGCGCGTCGCTGATGAAGCGTCGCCGCAGAAGCGCCACGCATCGCCGTGGAAACGTCGCGTGTCGCGGTGGAAGCGTCGCGGTGGAAGCGTCGCACCTTGCTGCGGAAACGTCGCGTGTTGTCCGAGAACGGGAAACGTTGCAGCATATCGATTCTCGACGATCGCATCTACGATCATCGATCGTTTACGGAAGGAAGCGAGGCACGGGGATCACGCGTTCATCTCAAATCTCGCGCTTGTCGAAAACGAAACCCGTTTCTAGAAAACTTTTGCAAAAAAATGCATCTTGCCTCAGCCGCGATCGGATCTTCTACGAGCGTGTGATCGGATCGGGAACGGGGTCGGATCGGGAACGGACTCGGATCAGATCGGATCGGGTCGGGGCGGATCCAATCGTTGAAATAATTAAGAATATTAGATCTAATTATTAGATCTTAGTTAATCGTTTCTCTGCCGAACGCGTTTCAGAATCGCTGATGCTGAACCTGAGCGGCAACTGTGGAACGTCCGGCAACATGTCCGACTACTCGGCGGCGACGGCGTCGTCCGGAGAGGCCGACGACGGCTCTGATTGGGACAGCAGCGAGGACGAGGTGACGATTGTTTATAATAAGTATTATAATTATTATCATTATTATAATTATCAATCATCGATAATCATAATTAATCAAGCAATCGTCGCCGCGGCGATGGACGCAGGCCGCTGCTACACGTGCAACACGTGCAGCACCGTGTACACCCTGTTCTTGAACGCCGTCTTGAAGTGCGGCTCGGGGTTGGTGCGCAGCAGCGAGCAGACGGGCGGCTTCCCACGATGCTCCGCATCCTCGAGGTCCCAGATCTCGGGCATCGAGCATCCGGGCTTCGTGCGGCGTGTGCACCACGAGTCCTCGAGCACGGCGAAGTCGACGCGCAGCGAGCGGAGCGCGCGCGACACGTCCGCAACCGGCCGCCGGCTGTAGAGCGAGTAGACGAGGCGCGTGCGCGCGCGCAGGCCCGCGTCCTCGTAGTGCGGGTGGTTGACAATCGCGCGGCCCGTCGACAGCTTCACGGCGGCCATCGTCGGCATCGCGCCGGCGAAGACGGCCGGCGGCGGCGTGCGCGTCTTGATCCACTCGAGCATCTCCTCCAGCGGGTAGTTCGCGAACTCTCCGCGGATCGCCCACTGCGCGCGCAGATTCTCGACGCCAGCGAAGCTCATCACCGCCACCAGGGCGGCGACGACGGCGTAGTGGCGCGCGCGCGGGCCGGCGACAGCCGCGAGGAGGTCTCGCGAGGCGATGAGCGACGCGACAAGGCACAGCTGAGGCGTGAGGAACAGCTTGAGGCGCATCACCATGACGGCCATGAGCGCGAATGCGCAGAGCTGCACGACGTTATAGAGCACGGCGGCGGACACGCGCGATCGCACTACCCCCGCATCCTCGTCCTCGTCGTCGCCGTCGGCAACCGCCTCCGTGCCCTTGCAGTGTGAGTGCACGTCCTTGACGAGATGCACGGCTATCGCCAGCAGCACGACTGCGACCGTCGGTATCAGCAGGGTCTTGCACAGCACGATGCCCGTCTCGAGCTCGAGAAAGTCAAACTCCCTCGCGCAGGTGTAAAGCATCGTGTGGAAATCCTTGTAGTCGGAAAACTTCGATCGGAAGATGTTGCCGATGTGAGCGTCGTCGGTGATGGCAAGCAACCTAAGCAAGCAGAAACATAATGAGAAAACGTTTAATTGTAAGCATTTGTATAGAACGCTGCGGGCAACAGTGAAAACGGTACGGGGCTATGTGTGCGTTATTAAATGCCACTTGCCTCCTAAAGTAATGGAATTATAACTTTGGGAATATCGCATCTATATTTGTAGAAATGCCTGTATTTTATCTATTCAATGCACCAATAAAATACTAATTGCACAATTGGAAAAGTTGTTTTCATTGATAAGCCAAAGAAGACAAATCAGTAACTAGTTCCAAGCTTTAACGAGAATTATCACCTTACAATGAACTTATGATACACAATCGCCCTACATGATTTTGTCTTAACTACACATGTAATCAGCCAGTTAATTTTGATAGGATATCAATTAAAGATGACATTCTAGATCACACCACTCAGTAAACTGGTAATGCATTAACCCTCAAACTACTTAGATCCAATCTTCACCATTCACCGCATGTCACGTTACAGCTGGCAGCACCGTACAATGTCCTCAACATTTTCCCATGTCAAAAACGACGAGGGATCCATCTAACCAGGTTCTAAAGAACCTAGGATATGCACGGCGCCCCGCCTTCCCAGTGCTAACGAGGATACACCTAGTGTGACACATGATGACAACAACGAGAATGCTGCTAGCAATACAATGATGCATGGCATCCCCAGTGCCAAGGAGGATACACCCCGCCTTTAACAAAATGTCAAAAATGATGTCAAAAATGTTAAAAGTGCCTTCGATGGAAAGAGAACTGCATGTCGCACGAATGCACGCGCGCGGTGAGATACGTGCCTTCCTGCGAGCGTCTTTATCCCGAGCGTTCCAGTCAGTAGGACGGCAGCCTGCACCAGCCAGACGAGCGGCCGTGCGAGCGCGCGCTCCAACACGGGCTCCATGGCGACGATTGCCATGACGGTGAGCAGCACGGGCAGGAAGAACGACGTCAGCAGCATCTCGTTGCCGAACAGGAGGACGAAGGCGATGGAGAAGCCAAGCAGCTGACCTCGCAGCACGACCTTGACCTTGCACGCGGATGCGAACCGCAGCGCGTAGACTGCGAACACGGACAGCGTCTGCGTCATCAGCGCGAACTGCGCGAATTGCCACGGCAACACAAAGCAGGTCGTCGCCGCGGCGATCGCCAGCAGGTGGTGCACGCCGGCGCGGTGGCTGCGCAGCGTCCACGTGACGAGCGCCATCTGGAGGACGAGGAACGGGTACGCGAAGCTCTCGCGCAGCGGCGGCGTCCATTGCACGCGCGTCGCCTCGCCGTGGTTGTAGAAGAACGCCGCCGTCGCGACGCCGCCGCCGACGAGGCTGCCGCTCAGGTATGCGCCGTAGAGGAAGAAGAGGCCCATGAGCAGTCCGTTCAGGAAGAACACGCAGTTCGTGTAGAAGTATGCGAGATCACCCATGCCCTCGCAGCTGGGAACGGGTGCGAGGTCCGCGCCGCGGTTCACCTGCCAGCACTGCTGCGTCGGGATGCCGAGCGCGCCCATCACGCCGTCGAACACGCGGTAGGCGGCGCCCAGCGTCAGCTCCGGGTAGAGGTTGAAGCGCTTCAGGGTGTTGATCGTGAGCGGAAACTCGGTGACGTTGTCGTAGACGAGCATGGAGAGTCCGGCGAGGAACGTCGGAGCTTCGGTCATCGTCTTGAAGTAGGAGTAGTACAGGCCCATCTCGGTTCTGAACGACATTTCTCTCTCCAGCGTCGACATGTGCGAGAAGTGTTTGTCGCTCTCGAACATGTACGCGATGTGAGAGCCGTGCACGTAGCTGATGGTAACGGCGATGGCCAGAGCAAGAACGATGTACCAGGAGTCGACAGACGAGTCCTGGCCCGCGTCCACTTTGTTGTGTTTTCCCGTTCGATGACCGGCTTTCTGCGTCGCTCCGTTGCCGTTGATTCCATGTTTTTCTTGCAAAACTTGGCTTGTTTTCCTTTTCTTACCTGCCATCGTTGCTGATGCTGGACGCTGACGTGGCTTGCCCCGCCATCTAGTGTCGATAATTATCATTAACGTGGACGCGGTACCGATTACGAATGCTGCGTGCTGCCCTTATAAATTACGGCGTGCTGCCACAGTGCGTGTTGCCCTTATAAATTATTTATCGAGGGTTTGCATCATGTGGTAATACCGCCTGGTTAAACATTTCGGCTTTGCATCATTTGATAACGCGTGGGTCAACGAAAGACAGCGAAAAATATAAATTCAATTTCATCATCCATTTATACAAAACAGCAATGAGGTTTATTGATAACTAATATCAAAATTTATATTCAGAAATATTACAGAGCAGAGTATTTATATAGCTTCCCACTCATAACTGTCTGTATTCACCTGTAAAAAGCCACCATTGCTTTATGTCGTGTATCAGAAAGTGCTCTGCAACGTGTGCCAACCACTCAATAAAGTCTAAAAATGCAAATCATTAGGTTTAATATTTGGGCCATTTATTGTCATAGCAATACTTGTCATAATAATAGTAGTACAAATATTGTACATTGCAGACATGCATTTATAAATAGTATACATTTTATATGCCATTAGTTCTCACAAAATTTGTACATATCCAATTTCCAAACTATTTTATGAACCATACTCAATATAAATGCCCATATCGAATCACTGAAAAATTATTTCAATAAAGGCAAGATAAAGGTAATTGCATTACCTTGTCGATTTATTCTGGAGATGATATACAGTAAAAACCCGCGTATAAGAACATAGATTTTTCCAAGTTAGCCTCAATAGGTTCTTATATAAATGGTGCTTACTGAAAAATTAGGCTCAAAAGGTTCTTAAATAGGTTCTTAATTGTTATACTTGATTTATCAATTATCAATATGATTTATCAATTATTTATCAATTATTACTCCTGCATCAAGCTTATACTTGATTCAAATTGTGTTAAAATTTTCTTACAAGGACTGCAATTTTTGCTAATTAATACCCATGATGGGCTACAGTGCAAGTTTTTCAGTGCTTACCATACTGTATGATACAGTATGTATCCAAGGAAATAAAACAACATGCCAAAAAATGAAGGAGAAAAAAATGGAAAAAAAAAATGGAAAATTAAGAACCTACTTTAAAATCTTAGCCTAAAACAGGTTCTTATGTAAAGGGGTCTAAATGGGAAATTTTAGCCTAACATGTTCTTAAAATCTATGTTCTTATACGCGGGTTTTTACTGTATTTCATATTTCTTAGTTTAGTGTTACAATCCTAGCATATCAAACAAAATTTATACTACAGTTGGGATAACGTCAAACATTTGTTCAGATAAAAACTTGCAACATCAAAAGCTAAATGAAAAGTAAACTAGCATCCTTTACAAAGATAGCATGATATAGAATGGTAGAATTTCAAACCTTTTACATAAACGTGTAAAAAATACAGGATGGACACACTCACTAGCAAAGAAAATTCACTTAAATGAGCAGCTCAAACAGCTTCTGATGTAAGAATCTGATGAGGACAAAACGAGTTCAATCCTACCAATGAATCATACCTTCTATTAGATAATTGCTTCCGAAAAAACAAAACGCGAAAAAGCCAAGAATGCAACCTCAGAACATCGATCCAAATATACCAGTACTGTAGTGTACGAATGATTTATTTCATAGTGCAACAGCTGTTTCCACAACAGGCCGCCCACTCTCACACCTGTACACAGGTAATTCGTCACAGAAATATTTACATATGTACAAAGTCAAATATTACAAAGACTGCAGAACGACGTGTAGGAGATAAGAGGCGGCGACAGCTGCAACCACGAACAGTGGCTGTGATCGACGCGTCGACAATTCTGACAGCTGCCCCAACTCAAGCGGCATCGTGACTAACGACGATCGATCACGTGTCGTGCGGTTTAACACGCCTGTCCACTATCGTCGTCACCAGCTGGTTCTTGAACACGTACTTCTTGATTCGATCGAAGACGAGCACGAAAATGATGAGCACTGCCAAGTACTGGATCCACGCGTCCTTCATCACCTGCCAGAATCCTGGTGTGTACGTGTGACAGCAGTCAAGAAAAACTCCGGCATTCACGACACACTGCGCAGGCCTCGCGAAATATAATGTAGACATAGCGTAACACGCGCAGTGAACATAGGCAGGCTTAGTGACTGTTAAATGGATTAATGTCATTTATACTTGTATATTAATAAACTTTCATCAAATTGAGAATCAAGTTACAGGGTTCGACGCCGGACACAGCGGAATACCACTGGTCTTCCAAAGAATTTTGCCTGGTCGAGGCTGCTACACATGCACCGAACCTCTCTCCCCTTCCAACAATTCCTTGGTCTCTAATTATCAGGATCGCTGATGCGACTGCTATGTGGATACTCGTGCGTGAAGTTTACTAACAACATCACTAGCAAACCTCCTTACGATTACCGCGCGAAGACCTGCTACAGCTCTCCCGAGTCCAATTAAAGGTCATGAAGATAAATATTTAAGGAGAAGCAGCTAGGGCAACAGAGCACTTCGTAAATTTTTAATATAGTTACAGAGCACCGAAAATGTAATAAAAGGGGGGTGAAATCCAGTAAAAATGCCATAAACCTCAAACACAACTATGATATGGAGAATCCAGCTACTGCATGCAAGCACTTTTGAAATAACAAAGCAGGTCACAATTAAAAAATATTTGTTTGCCCTTACCCGACCCAGACTGAGTTTGGGTAGGTAGGTAGGCTTGTTTTGATGGGGGTCTTTTTACAAATTCAGCATGGTGTCTACATGCTCGGGTGTGATTGTGTAGAGATACCTTTTATGTTGAATGTTTGTTTTGCTTGGTACATATAATATATTGCCTACAGATTTATATAATGTGCAGTGATAATATTTGTAAAAAAAAAGAATGGGAAAGATCAATAAAATTTTTGAGTCTGCCCCTTTTTGGCGGGTCGGTCGGGTGAGGGCAAACAAACTAATGGGCCTCATGCAAATATGCATATTAATAGAATCATTATCTTTGTGTTTGCAATACTGTGATTAAAATTTTTATTCGTCACTTTCACTACCACTAAATAGTATGATCAGATGCAGTAAATATCAACCTCGTGCATAACATATGGCTGACATCTACATTTCTTAGTAAAGGATATGTGACGCTTTCCTCTGGGTACCGCACCGTGATAGTGATTGTGAAAGGCATGCCGCTTCCCCTGCCTCTCACCCACACAGAATAGTCTGCATCGTATCGTGTTGTTACTGCATGGGAGAAACCATACCACCAATTTTTACCACAAATTTATGCAATGAATTTAAACATGCAGTTAAGTTTACACTTACCTGTAATACATTTACTAACTGTTTACAACATCTAACTCTAAAATAACTAATAACCTAATAATCTAAGGTTTGTCTAAAAATACTCAAATTAACATGTCAATAGCATTACTATAACACAAACTGAATTATTGATGAATAATTAATAATGATTTAAAAGTATGTATAATAAAAATAATACTATTTCATTAGCCCCAAAAGTCATCGTAAAACTATGCTGCAACATGTGAAATACTACATCTTAGAAATCCATTGCTTCATTTGTAGGAATGTTACAGGAAGACAGGCACATAACCCTCACCATTTCTGCTGTTATACTCCTTGAAAATACGTTTGAAGTCATATGCCTCTGCAAAGATGCTTTCTTGATCAATGCTTGTATTCTGAAAATATTAGGCCGTATTAAAGATGAATCATTATATCATGAAGAGAAACATAAGATATGGCCCAGTGAGACAAGTTTATTCCATTCATACTTAACATTTAACAATAAACAGATTTGAACATGGAAAGTATAAGCTTAATTCCAACTTTGGAAATCAGATACCGAATGCAAACCTTGTAACAACATACAGTATACATGGTATACATAAATAATAAAAAGACTATACCGACACATACAGACATAAGATATAAACATGCAAATTTGCCCTAACAAATTTTAGAAATCACGATATATACTAACAAGTGCCGCAGAGCGACAGCGCTTAACTGACGTGTACTGTAGCCAGGTATTTCTAGAGGGTGGGGGAGGAAGAGGGTAGGGAGAGGGGCGGGTGGAGGGGGCTCTAATAGCAAAAGCTGTTCAGTCCTTTGTTAACAGTCAACAAATCCATGTTTAACCCTCCTCTTGAGGGTCAAAAGGTTATCAGACACTTACTCTTCGCACATCAGCAAAAAGTATATTTCATGGTCCTTTCAATAAAGTGATAAAAATGGTAGGACAGCGCTGAAACAAAAAAGCTTTGCACTCGGTCCATTAGACCATGTCCTCAGAAAATGTGTGATATCTAACCTTTCCCCCACTGCCCTTTGACCTGTGATCTCCAATTTCGTGCTGGTGATAAATACATCGAATATTAAGGCGTAGATCGAGCCGTTGAGATTTGTGCCGCAATTCCGTATTTCCTCCTATACCTTAAAGGCTCACAATGCGCATCCAAACGCTAATTTCTCCAGTACTTGACTAGCAAATACTTCGTGTCATGCATAATCACACTACCTTATGACAAAATAAACTCTAGTTGCTCCCATTTCACTGCGCGTTTGCTTAAAACCCACAAGAAAGAGGTGAGAAAACTGGCATTCTGGCGCAAACGCCCACTGTTTGCCAAACAATAGCCTCGAAGTGGTGACGTGACGTCACATGTTTTTATCTTTGCTGCGCCCGTACCGCTGTACCGCAGCACCGCTGCACGGTTGCTTGGAGATTGGGGAAACTGTCAACAACATCGGAGAATTTCAACAACATTGGAGGTATTTTCGAAATACCTTTTATAAGACAACGTGCATTGAAATGGGAGGAACTAGAGTTTATTTTGTCATAAGGTAGTGTGATTATGCATGCCACGAAGTATTTGCTAGTCTAGTACTGGAGAAATTAGCGTTTGGATGCGCATTGTAAGCCTTTAAGTTAAGGGGGAAATATTCCCCCTCCATTAACACAAATTGACCTTTGACCCCCAAATTCGACATCCCGAGTCCTTTTCGCAATCCCCCCGACGTCCCAAATATCAAGACCGTACGTCGAGCGGTTAAGATTTGTGCCCAACTGTTGACGGACGGACGCACGCATGGACGAACGGACAATCATGCGATTCTACAAGCTGCATCTGACTTCGTCAGCTGAGCTAAAAATTGAATTCTATATGCCATACACACAATTACTCTCAATGTATAGTGAGTTAGGCGGAGAAAAAGTTGGAGAGTGTAAAGGTCAGGGCAAGAGTCGTGTCTGGGAGATGATGAGAAAAAGAAAAAGAAAGATAGAAAAAAAACAAGAGAAAGAGTGAAGGTATGTATGGGGAAGATATCGTGAATGGATAGAGAGGAAAAGAGTAAGATGGAGAGAAAGCCGACAAGAAAGATGGTAAGGGATTCGAAGAGTCTGCAGGAGAGAGGGAGAAAGGAAGGAGAGCAAAATTAAAACATAGGAGGAAGAAAGAGGAGGAAGAGAGGAAAAGGAAAAAGACGGCTAATGGAAGAGAGAATGCATTCTAGAGACAGAGAGAAAAGGCCACACTTACATTGTATCTACTATCGACGCCTCTATGAGCTAAAGGCTGCCTCTGCACAAGTATCAGGTGGCCGTCTGTAGAATATTCAGCACCACTCTGCATAGCACTGTGGTGGACATAAGCCATACTTTCCATAGTAAATTCAGAAAATTTCTGTCGAAATAAATACCAGCCATAGCACTGTCAGAAGAATGGTTGGCCACACAGTTATTATAACCACTAAATTTCGTTAAATTTCAGTTGCGGAAATGTCGTTCATTTAATAAATTCAGCACACTTTTAAAATTTGGTTTCCATATATGACTATGTCATTTATAACTCACGTATAATCGATAGTCAAAGAAAAGCAACAGCTGCAACGCAAAGATGTCTTCAGTGTCCGTCACCGGCATCTCTAATGAGAAGTGTAAGAGATCTTTCTTCCCATCCCGATTCACATCTTCTTCTCGTGACTGCAAGCAAAACATCGTACATAGTTGCAGCATGATTGATAATGAGGAAGCTATGCTAGTATAGCTGAGAGGGTCTATGTCCCCCGGGGTGCTGCCGGAACGTACCCTGGTACTATCTAATATTCCGAACCGTACCTCGCCTACTTGACTAACGAGTCTAGAAAGTCGCCTACGCCTACTCCCTAACCCTAACCCTAACCATATCAAATAGTGACCAGGGTACGTTCCGGTATACCGGACCGTACCCAGAGTACGTTCCGGCAGTATTCAGACCCTATGAGCGCTAGTATATACTCCTTCAGTATTCAGAGTATAGAATCACGAGAAAGGTGCAAGGCTATTGTGGTCATTTACCTTCACCAATGGTATGCGAATATGAGACTGTTGAAGGCTGTTGAAGTTCTGGAACGTGCTCCATGCAAGATAATCATCTGCTGTGTCCAAGATAACTAAGAGCTGGTATTTAAAGCGAATATCTGGTTGTTCCACATAACTGGATAATTTCAGCCAAAAACCTGCAAGTAAAATTATGTAGATGTGCACTATTTGATCTGTTTGGTAATATTTGGTTGTTTGGCTATGTTGAGCCTCATTAAAACCAATCATGTTCACATTTACAGTACTAGATAACTCCCCCCACACACACACCTTTGCTCTCCCACCGGGCTAAAGCGCAGTGAACTTTAAAAATTCGAGCATGAAATAGTATTCAGTTTTGAAAGGAACTCAAATCTCTGCATGGTCAATTCCTTCAAATTGAATATATACTACGGTACATTATAGACAGTCATAATTTAGTAATAATGATTGCACCTTTAATTAATGGAAATATGAGCATTGGGATACCAAATAAAATGGTAAATACTACCACTCAGTAAACTGTTTTAGTGTTTGTGCCATTTGACACCCAAAAGGTAGATTCGAATTTCGAAAACCAATGTGCCGCGATGAGCATGCCTGGCTTGACAGAGAAGCATGGCAGTGACTAAATTAGGACAATCTGCTTATCAATACTGATTTAATATAGGCCTTCTACCTCTACTTCTACGCTATATTGACCACCATCAACATACTGATGATTATGCCAACGGGAGGCGCTAGTTGAGACTAAAATAAAATTTTCCTTCCCTTGATTTTCTAAAGAAAAAAA